AACTTTCTTTTTGCCATCTGCGATTTCCTTCCTCTTTTTCCTCCACTCATTCTTCTCTTCTCCTTCCTTATTCACTTCCTTCCCTGTAAACAAAGGAGAAGAGAGATGAGTGGACGAACTTTTAAAAGCATTGTTTTTCTCATGTGAGGTGTGTGAGCTGTCAGGCTTGGTCGTTGAAGGGTCTGTTTTAGCATGAAACTGCTCACTCAAATCATTAAATTTTTGAAGAAGTTCCTGCCAGTTGCGCTCAAAACCTTTCTTTTCAGTTTCAAATCTCTCTCGTCATCAAGAGTTTTCTGTAGGTTTTTGAGCTTTTGAGCCATGGGAAAAATACATGGTTCCTCACCAGTTTTAGCAATACCAACTCTTGGGGGAGGGTCTAGAGGGTGTCCTATGTGAGGAATATCTTTGGCATAAGGGTCTAGGCATTCACTAAAGCAGGAAGTAGGTTTTTCTTCTGAAAGTTGTTTTTCATTTACAGAGGGATAATCACAAGAAATCGCAGGTTTTGGTTTCTTTCTCTTTTCTTCTTCTGCTTCAGCATAGTCTTCATCACTTCGAAAATACATTTTCTCGCCAAACCCTAGTCCCATGTAATCTTTGTTATAGAATTGAAGGCAATTAACTTTCTTAAGATTACGTGGGTTGGTTATCCCCAGTCCTGTTTTAGCATTGTAGAATCGGTCATCCTTTTGTTTGCTGTTAAGCAGAAAAACAGTTTGTTCAGATTGACCTCTTCTAGCAGCTAGATCTTCTAGTTCTTTTACTTTATTTAAAAGCGTTCTTCTTTTGTTATGCAAAAAATCGCATTCAGCCTTTGCTGTGCTTTTTTCCCGTTCACTGTCCTCAAATTTCCTGGTTAATTCAGCTATCTTTAGTTCAAAGCTTTCAAAATCTGAGGACACCTTTTTGACTTGATCTTTTGCAATTTCAAGTTGAATACTTAAGGAAGACTTTTGGTCTAGATTCTGTTTCAGAACTCTATGATTATTGTCTAGTCTCTCCTTTAGTTCTTTGATTAGATTGTCCTTTTCAAGTAAGGACTGCATTTGATTATTTAACGAAGTATGGGAGGTACTTACAGAGCTTGTTGAGCACTTGCTTTCGGGGATCGCATCATCACCCTTTATTTCATCTCCCTCCACACTTGCCATAAGAGCATAGTTGTCTTCCTCTTCCTCCTTCTCAGAAGAATCTTCTGCCCAGTTCTCATTTTCAGCAATCATGGCAGAGGTTTCTTCTTCTTTCTGTACCATCAGCATTTTCTGCTTATTCCACAGCATCTTCTGCTTGTAGAAGTTAGCATCTTTCTTCTTTGGGAGGCGGCAGTCTTTGATCACATGTCCAGGCTTGCCGCAATTATAGCATTTAGGAGCTTCTTCTGCTGATGATGCCTTCCTAGAAGATCCTTGATCATGGTTCTTCTGCTTGTAGTTTGAGGAGGAAGTTCTCAGCCTGTTGGAGGAGCTGTTCTTCTTAGCAAATCTTTTGGCAAGCAGTGCCATCTTTTTCTGTAAGTCTGCTAGCTCAGCCTCTAGATCAGATTTGTCCTCGTCACTCTCATCATCATCTGATTCAACCACCACCTTCTTCTTTTTCTTCTTTAGTGAAGTGGTTGTCCTTCTCGGCTAAGCATCCATTACAAGAGCTAAGGGATTTGTGGTGTGATGATCCTCAGCACAGGCAACCTCATTGACGAATTGCTTCAGATGTTCATAGAGTGTGCAGAGGTCAATTTCGTCCAAATCTATCCGAGATCTGACATCCTTCACTGTCTTTTCCCATGCCGGATGCAGGCTAGATAAAAATCTAATATTCAGTTCCAGATTGGACCTGAATACCTTGATCTTTCTGAGTTCATTTACCAGTTGAACAAGTCTGTTGTAAGTCTCATTCAATGGTTCTCCTGGACCTGCTTTGAAGGAGTCATAAGCGATGAGAATCGTAGTCTTCTTTGTTTTGAGGCTGATGCTTGTGCCTTGTAGCAGCTTCTCTATTTCATCCCACATTTCCTTAGCTGTCTGCATGCTATCAATGAGAACATAAACTTCATTTGGTATTGCTTGAAGGAGATACGTTTTGGCCATAAGGTCACCACGAAGTCTGAGCTTGTCAGCTTCTGTGTATTCAGACGACACTTTTCTCCTTATTTCTGGAAAAATAGGAGGATTGTTCTCTGGATTTCCACCAACTGAAATCAAGAGTTCAGCTGGTCCTTCAAGCAAAGATTCGAGCATTGCAGAAGAGTTCTCTTTGTGCTCGAGGAAGTTTAGAAATCTGTTCCTCCACATTTGATATTCTCCCTTCCTGAGGCTAGGAGGGGTACTGCTGTTCCCTTGTGCATTGTATTCTGAACCCATTGCTATACTAGACTAACCGTTCGAGAAAATTGATCAAAAGATTTTCAGAGGCAGAATCTCGAAAAATCAGATGTCGAGATCTGAATATCGAAATCTCAGATTTCGATAAAGGAGGCCCGGTATCGAGATTTGGGCTCGAGATTAAGGATCTCGAGATTAGAGATCTCGAGATTTCAAATTTCGAGATGCTGATCTCGAGATTTGAAATGTCGAGAAGTTAATCTCTCGAAATCTAAAATTGCGCAAAACACAAACTGAAGTATACCCTTTGATCGCTTTGAAAAGGCGATTCCAAAGGTGTAACTTTTACAACTTTTGAACAAGAAACAAAATTACAGAGCAAAAAATCGACAGAATGAACTACGTTAACAAAAACAGAGTATTCTGCAGGAGTTCTTCTGATCGTTCTCGATCGGCTCTGATACCAATTGTTAGTCCCTGTGTTTCTGTAACAGCAATGAATAATCGATCTAACAAGGAAGATTAAACGTAAAGATGAACACAGAATGAATCACCGTAAAACCTTCTTTGATAAACCGTGGAACGTACAGCAGAATGATAAGCGTAAGGCTATGAATAATAAGTACGACGTTCAACCTTTTCCTAAACCTCAGCTCCCTTTTTATAGGCGAGGTTTAGGTTAGGCGTACCAGGCTTTTGGCCTGTTTAAATGGGCCTAACACTTGGCCTGATTTCTATCTAATTTATGCACTATTTAAATACAAGGATTAAATATAAAGCTAATCTATGACCAACTTGATTCACAATTAAAATATCTCCAACAGAACTATTAATTAATATTCAAGGAAAGAAGTTAAGAAAATAACTCACAACTTTAATAATCAACAAGCTTCAAGAGCAACACCAAGAATGGAAGTTTAGCTCCTCATTTGGAGACTAGACATAGCTAGAAAAATATAAAGAAATGTTATTCTAAACTGAGCTAAAGAGAATGGAAGAAGGGATTGCTTTTTAGAGGAGAAAAAGAGTGCTATTTGTAGGTGTTTTTCAACACCTTTGGCCGAGTACCCGACCGGGTATAGGTACATACCCGACCGGGTCCATGTCAAAATCAAATATCCTCCACGTTCTGGCGATCTTCAGCATGTTAAAGTGTCTGGGTCAAGTCAGACCCGACCGGGTGGGGTAGGGGACCCGACCGGGTGAGTGCAAAAATTGGATATTCTTCACGTTCGGGTGATCTTTGCACACCGGGTTGTCCCCGGTCACTTCTCACCCGACCGGGTGAGGTAGTGAGCCCGACCGGGCCATGCACTTTCTTTGCATTTTCGTTTTTCACTTCTTACCCGACCGGGTCAAGTATTATACCCGGTCGGGTATTTGCTCCTGGGCAGTCAAATCTTCTTTTTCTTCACTTCAAAGTCTTCCTTTCCAAAACCACAAATCCTAACTAAACTTTACAACTGACAAATAAAGACTAAAATACAATTACAACTGAAATCACATAAATGTTTACAAACTAAATAAAACGTCAAACAATTAACATAAATCAAACATAAAAACATGTAATTATGCACTACTAATTAGTGTGCATCAAACACCCCCACACTTAAACCTTTACTCGTCTCGAGTAAATCAAATCAAATCCAAGAAGTCCTAAATGACAAGAGTAGCAGCACGAACATCCACAAGTGTTTATAACAAATACATAAAGTATCTCCAAAACAAAAAGAGTAAAGATGGGTCTTCAATTTCAATCCGAACTCTCTATAGTAATCGCCCTTAGGATCCTGCAAAATCAAAAGAAATAACTTTCTCTCATTCTCTCATTTTGCCTAGGTGCCCTTTCAGGTTTTCAACCCAGCTTCCCACATTTTTTTATTTTTATTTTTATTTTTTTTTGTTTTTTATTTTTCTCAAATCTCACAAACTCACTCTTATTTTTGCTTTATTTTTGCTTAAGCTGCCCTTTGTGGGTTTTCAACTCAACAAGTTTTTTTTTTTCGTTTTTTTTTGAGATAACAAGAATAAAGAGTGTGAATGTGAACATACCGGGAAGATCTCTGCACCCCCACACTTAGGATCTGACACTGTCCCTAGTGTCCGCCTAGACCTCCACCTTGGTGTCCGTCCTCATCCATGTGATCCCCGCCATAACCACCATCGTAGCCTCCACCACCGGAGCTCGATCCTCCAAAGAAACCCCACTGAGAGGGGTCATACCATGATGGTGCAGGAGGTGGAGTGGTCATAGAGGAAAAGGAGCCCTGGTGTGCTATATATGAGTTAATCGGACCAAAGGTTCTACGCTGATCCTCCTCAGATCTCCGCCTGTCTTCCTCATACCTACGCCAGTCTGCTTGCCGCTCCTCCTCCATCCTCACAATGCTCTGGTTGAGCGTGATCATGTTATCGAGCATTTGTTGCTCGAAAGGTGTGTAGTGGAATGCTTGAGGTTGTGGTTGTTCGGGTATGATTGGGGGTTCTTCATCATCTTCATCTTGGATGGGTTCTTCATAATGATCCGGGATTGCCCCGGGAAGACAATAGTGATGACCATCCCCGATTTGGTGATTGATGATATCCAGGGGGACGTCGGCTGAGGGTATCTGGAGGTAGATGGAAGTGCGTGGGAGAATGCGCCAATTATAGATGTGTGCCCCAGTTGGTGTTGTGTGCGAGGGGACCAAGTCTAGCGTCTTTTGTAAAAGCCATTCAGTGCAAATAAGGTGTCTTGAGGTGATGGGGCCGGGGTCTATAAAACCATATAAAGTGGCTAGATGTGTGATGAGGCCCCCCATAGCAATTAGTCCTGTTGATGTTGCCACGTTGTTGAAATGAGTCCATAAGATGGTGGCAACATCAACTTGATTTGGGCCTGGCAAAACAGCTTGTGCTAGAACACACACATCCCAGATACGTGTGTGATGATTATTCGGTCTTCCGAGGAAACAACTTGAGCAAAATTTTAAGAATAGTCGGAAGACCGGATGTTGCACACGATTCACACTCAGTTTAGATAGATCAACCACATTCTTTCCGGTCATTCTTCTCCACAATTCATACCCCACAAGAGAATCATATGTACGTGCTTCATCAAACCATGGGAGACCAAAATGTTGAACAAATTCTCGTTTGGTTAATGAACGATCCTCATTTAGTAAACGAAAGGTGATTATGTCATTTGCATGATCATTCACATCTTTTGTATACGCAAATGAGCTAAAAAATTCATACACCAAATGAGGATATGTCACATATTGCATTTCAAACATTCTAGATATTCCAATTCTTGCAAATATATCACGCATCACAGTATCAATCCATAGTAGTGCTAAAGTAGTTAAGCACATAAAACGGGATTGTTTTACCTCCCTTTTTGCTTGGTTGATGAAGTTGTTCCGTTGAGCCTCCGTAGCAAACTCCACGCTCTCATAGCCCGCTACCGGTGGGATAGCTCGATTACCCCTTGAGGAAGAGGCTTTTGACTTTCTTGGAGCCATTGAAGTCCACTTCTTTTTTTTTTGTTGTGATTTTCGGACTTGGGTAGGGTGGGGTTTGGAACTTTGGAATTTTGGTGGGTCTTGGGTATTTTGGGGTTGTGAGAGTGGAGAGGATGATTATTAGGAGAAGAAATTGGGATTTCTTGGGATTTTGAGTAGAAAAATCGGAACTTTGGGGGATGGGGTGTTAGGGTTTCGGATTTTTGCAAATGGGGAAGAAAATGGGATTTTATGGGTATGGGTGTGTTGAGAAGGTTGAGGAGATGAAGATTATGGTGTTATTTAGTGGATTTGGTGGAGAAATGGTATAGAATCGAAGGTTTTGGTGTGTAAAAATGGAGGGTTTTGGGGATTTTTTCGTGGGGAGGAAGAAGAAGTGGGAGGGTAGGGGGTGAGCCCGACCTGGTTAAGTGGAATTTACCGTTCACCCGGTCGGGTGAAGTCTTCCGCCCGATCGGGCTGTGCGGTATTTCTTATCCAGTAGCTACTGGAACGACTACCCGGTCGGGTGCTTTAGGGTACCCGGTCGGGTCTTGCTGATTTTTTTTAAAAATAAATTCGTACCCGCCCAAGTTTCAGAAATACCCGAATGGGTATGCATTCCAGTGTGTTCAGAGCCAAAACTATGTGCAGACCTGGTCGGGTTTTGGAAGCCCCCGGTCGGGTTTTTGTTTTTTTTTGTTTTTGTTAGCAACCCGGTGGCCGTGTTGCCCGGGTGTTCCTTTTTTATTAATAAACCCGACCGGGCTGTTTGAGATACCCGGCCGGGTTTCAGCCCAGACTCATTTTTTTTTTGAAAAAATTATAACACACGAACTGAAAAAAAAATGAAATTAAAAATAAAAACTTGGCTTGCCTCCCAACAAGCGCTTGATTTAATGTCGCGGCACGACGTTATTTTTTTATTTTTATGTGGGATCGTGAACATCACTTGTTTCATTTTTCCTTTTCGGCCTTCTCCAGTAAGGCCGGGATTTCTTTTCCGGTATCACTTCAATCCCAGGTGGGATCCATTCTCTTTTTGAAAATTTGAATAATTCTTCTTTTTCAAAAAGTTTGATTTTCTCATTTTTTTATCAACAAAAATATTCGGGGTTTGTGGTTCACAAACATTTAGAGCACAAAGAGATTGGTCTTTAATTTGTTTTTTCGTAGAATCAAAAATGTTGAATTCTACCTTTTGATCATCAAACTCTAAAGTTAATGAACCAATAGCCACGTCTATTTTTGTTTTTTGCGGTTTTCAGAAAAGGCCTACCCAATAGGATGGGTGTAGTTTGGTTATCATCTCCCATTTCAAGAACATAAAAATCAACAGGGAAAATCAAATTTTCTACTTCTACTAGCACATCTTCTACTACACTCTTCGGGTAAGTATTAGACCGATCCGCTAGTTGAATCACTACACCAGTTTGATGTAGTGGGCCGAGTTGTAAGGATTTATATAAGGAATAAGGAATGACATTTATTGACGCTCCTAAATCCAACAAGGCCTTAGAAAATAAGGTATCCCCTATTTTGCAAGGAATAGTGAACATGCCTGGATCGCTACATTTCTCGGGAAGTTTCTTTTTAAAAATGGCCGAGACACGTTCACTCACTTCAACTTTTTGTTTCCCTTCCAGTTTATTTTTCTTTTTCATTGTGCATAGTTCCTTTAAGAACTTTGCATAACGGGGAACACTTTTGATCAGTTTGAAGAGTGGGATGTTTACCTCAGAATTGACGAATGTTTCGTAGATGTCCCGATCATTCTTCAGCTTCCTCGTGTCTTTCAATGCCTCAGGGAATGGAGGGAGTGGTTCACATGATGACAGTGGAGGGAATTTAGTCTTCGTTGGCTTCTCCTCTTCTTGTTGGAAACCTTCTTCAAGATCAACCTCTTGCTTGTCCTCCTCAACTTCCCGTGGTTGCAATTCTTTACCGTTCCTCAACATGATTGCATTGACATGTTGTCTTGGGTTTAGCTCAGTTTGGGAGGGGAGCTAACTTGAGTTTCCAAATTTTGAATGCTCGACTTGGTTTCATGTTGGAATTGCATCATGGTTTGTGGAATTGCCCCATGCTTTGCTGCATTGTTCCCATATTGACGGCCAGCGCTCGAATCATGTCTTCGGTGGACATACTCGAGTTCGATGTTTGGCCTTGTGGTTTGTATTGTTGAGGAGGAGGATTTGTTTGAGAATTTCCGTACCTTAAATTCGGATGATCCCTCCATCCCGGGTTGTAAGTATTTCCTTGAGGGTCGTACCTCCTTTGACCTTGGAACCCCAAAGCATTGACTTGCTCGGAGTTCTCTTCTTGTAGTGTCGGGCAAGAATCTGTGGGATGCCCTTGCGTTGAACAGATGCCGCAGACCTTGACTTCTTGGGTTTTTGGATTTAAAAGGAAATCTTTGACCAAAGAAGTCAAGCCGGCTACTTGACTCTCCAACGAGTTGTTGGATTCCGCTGCCATGACTCGTTTCGATGATGACCTTCCGTTGTAATGTCTCGAGTTTTCGGCCAACTCCGAAATGAGGTCTCTTGCTTGAGAAGGGGTTTTGTTAACAATACCCCCTCCGCATGCCGCATTCACCATGCGTCTATCTTGATCAACAAGTCCATCATAGAAGTAGAGGATGAGATCTTGTTCTGAATATCCATGATATGGGCAACTAGCACATAATTTTTTAAAGCGCTCCCAATATTCATACAAGGTCTCATTATCTGCTTGCTCAATGTTGCTGATTTGCTTCTTGAGATTTGAAGAGATAGATGCGGGACAGTACCTGTCAAGGAAGCTCTTTTTCATTTGAGCCCATGTGTTGATGCTCCCCGAGGGAAGATAAAATAACCAATCTTTGGCGGTGTCTTTGAGAGAGAATGGGAAGGCTCTCAGCTTGATTTACTCCTCGGACACGCCATTGGGGCACATGCTTGTGCACACAATATGGAACTCCGACAAGTGTTTATTTGGATCTTCCCCTCGTAAGCCATGGAAAGAGGGAAGTAGATGAATGAGCCCAGATTTTAGCTCGAATGTGACCCCCGTATCAAGAGTTGGAAAAGTGATACATAAGGGCTGTTGATTTAGATTCGGAGCGGTGAGCTCCCTCAGCGTTCTTGTTTCCAGAGCCATGTGGAAGGACTCTTCGGATTCGCTAGAATGAGAACTAGCACTTGATGATTCCTCCGAAGAAGTATTCGGAAATAGATTCCTGAACCTCTCGAAGGCTTGTTCTGTTTCGGGCTTTGTTTGGTAGGTGATTTGGTTTATAGATCGGTGTTTAACCATATACTCAAACAAAGCTGAGCAAAAATAGAAATCTTTTAAATGTTTTTTTTTTCTTGAAGTAAAATAGAAAGAAAAATAATTGCCTGTCCCCGGCAACGGCGCCAAATTTGACGAGCACTTGTCGTGAGTGCGTCAAAATAAATTCAATACTAACACTTATACGTAGTATAGCGTAGTAGAGTTCGTATCCACAAGGAAAGGAATAATTCTCTTTTTATGATACTTAGTAAATAAAAAGGGGGGATTTGGATTGAGTGATTTAATTTAATTAAGAACTAAGATGAACAACCTATATGTGTTTAATTCAAAGATAAAAGGACTTGGCATTGCTACTTTCCACTTGTTGATATATTTTAGTCGATCATTGTTATATCTACAACTTATTCCCTCTCGAATACTCAATCGGGGAGTATATCCACTTCATCGAGGGTAGTTATTAACAACGACCGTTCATTAATAACCCTTACTATTAATCAAATATAGAACAACGCCGTATACCGATTTAATAGTAGCATTTAATCTTTCTAACTCCTTGATGAAATCAATTGAGATTGATAACCTTAACACAAGCGGTTTCGGTTTAACCAACAAAATTAATCCCTCTTAAGTTTATTAACCACGACCGTGCATTAATAAACCGAAGTTACTTACTTGTGAAACCATCAACGATTAACCATCGGTTCGTTGATCGTTTCTAGTAATAATTAATATATGAAACAAAACTAGTTGATCCTTTAAGTAATGTTCAAAATATTAATATGCAATAAGAGTAGGAATTAATTAATATTCAAGGAAGAATATTATTAAAGAAGATGAATCCTACTATAATTAATATCAAGATGTTAACTAATTGTCATCTTAGCAACACTCCCCAATATTAATATAGAGGAAGAAAATATCATTCTAACTAATGTCGAGATGTTAACTAATTGTCATCTTAGCAACACTCCCCAACATTAATATAGAGATGGTATTAAGGAAAGAACTATTAATTAATATTCAAGGAAAGAAGTTAAGAAAATAAGTCACAACTTTAATAATCAACAAGCTTCAAGAGCAACACCAAGAATGGAAGTTTAGCTCCTCATTTGGAGACTAAACATAGCTAGAAAAATATAAAGAAATGTTATTCTAAACTGAGCTAAAGAGAATGGAAGAAGGGATTGCTTTTTAGAGGAGAAAAAGAGTGCTATTTATAGGTGTTTTTCAACACCTTTGGCCGGGTACCCGACCGGGTATAGGTATACCCGACCAGGTCCATGTCAAAATCAAATATCCTCCACGTTCTGGCGATCTTCAGCATGTTAAAGTGTCCGGGTCAAGTCAGACCCGACCGGGTGGGGTAGGGGACCCGACCGAGTGAGTGCAAAAATTGGATATTCTTCACGTTCGGGTGATCTTTGCACACCGGGTTGTCCCCGGTCACTTCTCACCCGACCGGGTGAGGTAGTGGGCCCGACCGGGCCATGCACTTTCTTTGCATTTTCGTTTTTCACTTCTTACCCGACCGGGTCAAGTATTATACCCGGTCGGGTATTTGCTCCTGGGCAGCCAAATCTTCTTTTTCTTCACTTCAAAGTCTTCCTTTCCAAAACCACAAATCCTAACTAAACTTTACAACTGACAAATAAAGACTAAAATACAATTACAACTGAAATCACATAAATGTTTACAAACTAAATAAAACGTCAAACAATTAACATAAATCAAACATAAAAACATGTAATTATGCACTACTAATTAGTGTGCATCACTAGGATGGGGGATGTATGCCTAATGTCTGTAGCCCTATTCCGTGTTCACGTGGATTTCAACCTGTGTAATCTTATGTGGGCACATCTCAAAAAAGAAAGCGTAGCCAAGGGCGCTATTGTGGTGGGTGGGGTGATTATGCACTTAGCCACCAAGTTCGGGTATACAGATAACTCTCCTATACCCGACTACTGTTTGATGAACATTTCTTGGTTGGGCCACTCGGGATGTACAACTTTTTCCCACACAGTTTATGGTGGAGAAAAACCCAAGAATATGTACAACTGGCTCATACACCCCAAACCCCTCAAATACTTCCTCCTGCCCAAACCAGAACTCCCCCAACTCCACTACAAAACAACAGTAGAGGAGCAACATTACCTCTTCCCACACGCCCTTCCACCACATCTCCCGGAACTGGAGCAAGAACCTCCCCAACACCAACCCGATTACGAGCCCAATGCTCAACTCCATAGTCATCAAAACATGGGCCAGGACATCCCCGAACAAAGCCAAAACCCTCCACCACCCGACTTCTTTCAACAACTTCTGGAGGGTCAACAACAACTGCTTACGGGGTACGCCCAAATGAACGCAAACTACACGGCTATGGACAGCCGGCTCAACCAAATACAGGAGGAGCAAAGGGCCGGTTTTCTGCGATTGGAGGAGCTCAGGGAAGCCGATAGACATCGGTATGAAGAAGACCAACGTAGGTTCTACGGACCTATGTACTCTTACATGGCACAACAGGGATCCTTCCATACCATGCCAAACCCCCGTCCACCACCCTCGTGGTATGACTCCACTCATTGGGGTAATTTTGAAGGATCTGGCTCCGGGGGTGGAGGGTACGACGGCGGAGATGGCGGGGACACATATATGGGAGATGGTGGGCAGGGGAGTGACTCCGGAGGGAGCTACTACGGCGGAGAAGGCGGGCACTAGGGACAGTGCTTGATTCAAGTGCGGGGGAGACACTCATGATGGTATGTAATTTTTATTTCCACCTAGCACTATGCATGTAATTCTTTTGAACTTATTACACAAAAAAAAAGAATAAATAAAAGAAAATAAATGCTAGTTAGGTTGAAAACCCAACAAAATGGGCAATCTAAGCAAAAAAGGCTTATAAAAAAATGAGTGAGTTGGGGAGAATGGAAAATGAAAAGAGATGCTAGGATGAAAACCTGAAAAGGCTCCTAGGCAAAATGAGAGATATGAGAGAAATGTTTGTTTTTGCAGGCACTCATTGTATCTCTTTGAAGAATAAGAAGATTCAGAAAACAAAGACAAAGAAGAAGAGAGGAGGAGAAGAAAAGATGAACAATAGAAGGCCATAAAACCCAAGACGTTCTTTGTAATTTCAGTTAAAACTCATTTTTGTCATCCTTGGTGGTCTTTGTGTTTGTATGTTTTGTTGCTAGAACTGTAGAAACTTTTGAGAAACTTGACACTTGTGAACATTTGATCTTACTCGAGACGAGTAAAGGTTTAAGTGTGGGGGAGTTGATACGTTTGTAATTTCCATATGCATGTTTGTGTTTTTAATTAGTTTTGCTTGATCTTTACTATGGAAATTACACACTTTTGGTGTAATAGATTAGTTTGTTAAATTCTTGTAAATAGTTTAGATTAGATATATTCTGAGCTCAAACAGGTCTTGATCACTCAAAGTACAGTTGGTGAACCCAAAGAGTGGAAAGAAGGTGCAAAATTGAAGACAAAAGAAGGATCCTGAATTTTGGTCTATACTCGGTCGAGTATTAACTACACTCGATCGGGTATTAGGTTGAAACTTCAAATCGGATCAGATCCGAAGACAAGGGAACATGCCGGAAGGAGTTCGGCCACGATTTAATGTCTATACCCGATCGGGTAGACCGACATACCCGATCGGGTATGCCTTTGAGTTTTAAACGAAGATCGGTCGAGTATGGTCCGAATACCACTTTCTAAGCATACTCGACCGGGTATAAACATATACCCGATCGGGTATACTTATGGAAAATAGCCTGAAACCGGTCGAGTATACCTCGAATCGAGTATTACACACATACTCGATCGGGTACCATGTATATACCCGATCGAGTACCTGAATCCCATCCCAAAAGCCTATAAATACACCTCCTTTCCTTCACAAAAAGAGATCCAATTCCTTTGTACATCTAAGCTCAATACATAATAGCTCTTTCTTTATATTTTTCATCATGTTTAGTCTCCAAATGAGGAGCTAAACTCTTCCATCTTGGTTTTGCTACTTTGAAGCTTAATGAATTTGTAAGTTGTGAGTTATTTTCTTTAATCTTTTTCCTTGAATATTAATTCTTTCTTCAAAATACTATTTCTATATCAAAGTTGGGGAGTGTTACTAAGATGACAATTAGTTAACATCTTGACATTGGTTATAGTAATAACTATTTCTTCCTCTATGTTAATATTGGGGAGTGTTACTAAGATGACAATTAGTCAACATCTTGATATTAATCATAGTAGGATTCATATCCTTTAATATTCTTCCTTGAGTATTAATTAATTCCTATTCATATTTCATGTTAATATCTTAAACACTACTTAAAGTATCAACTAGTATTGTTTCTCATATTAAGTATTACTAGAATCGATCGGTTAATACGCTTGTTATTAATCCAGTTCTTTCAACGGTAGTAAACTTGGAATATTAATGCATGCATCTCATGGTTAATATGCCAAGGGGAATTAATTATATTGATTAAACCAATAAACCGCTTGTGTTGAGGTTATCAATCTCAATCGTTTTCATCTTAAGTTTATTGCTACTATCAAGTTAATATACGACGCTTGTTCTATATTGACTCGATAGTAAGTTTTATTAATGAACGCATCTCGTTATTAATAACTACCCTCGATGAACTGGATATACTCCTCGATTGAGTATTCGAGAGGAAGATAGTTAAAGATATAACCGGGATCGACGAACATTTCATTAAGTGGATAAAAGCAGAACCAAGTCCTCATCTTATTGAATTAAACTCATATAGGTTGTTTATCTTAGTGTTTTTAAATCAAACAAATCTAAACCCCCTTGTTACTACTTTTATAAAAGAAAAATATTCTTTTCCCTGTGGATACGAACCTTACTTCGTTATACTACGTATATTCGTTGTATTGTATTTATTTTGAGTGCACCTCACGACAAGTGAACAAGTGAACGTCAGCCAGCCTGGTCCTCGATGTTGGACTGGCTCATATTTGAGACAACTATCAGGTTTCAATCTGACCCTCAGAGATGCTTATCGAGAGGGAGTGAGGAGGAGCGATCGGCTGAGAGTGGGGCGCACTGTTTCTGCATCGTGTCGATGGCAAGAATGCTGGAGCGACGGCGGCGTTGCTGCAATGACTCTTGGGCGGAGAAGGGACAGGGATAGATCCCTTTTACCTGCAGTGGACTCCTACTCCCTTGTAGAGCCACAAATTAGAAATTCTCTAGGAAGATCTCATGGCAATAGATATCCTTCATACAATAGAGGGCTCCCGTTCGCTGGCGATGAGTAAGATGACCATGGGCCCAGATGTAACCACAATAGTTTCTCGGAGCTGGGCGGCGAATTTCAGCGAATAAGATGGGCTTCGAATAATCACAAGGAGGAAAGGGGATCCTTACACCAGTTGTCATCCGGTGATCAATTGCTATTTTTTGGAAATATTCCTGTCAAAATTGGGTTTCAACAACAGCCATCTAATAAGCTAATGGTGGCAGAGACAAAGCATGAACGAAATGAGAGGACTTCAAAATTGGGACTTCTTGATGGCTCCTTCAAGAGTGTTACAGTTGATCAAAGTCAGAGTACACAAGACTCTTTACAAGGGTGTTCATTTACGGCGAACAATTCAAGCAATTCTCCTTCGTATGTTAGAATTGAAAGTAAAGTTTTATGCTTCTCTATTGATTCTTCATTCTTACACATTACTCAAATCAAGGGCATCAAGTCACGCACTATCTCATTAGATAAAGACGAAGCAAATTGGCTACTTAATTCCTTTCATTATATCAAATCCGGAGCTTCTTGGGTTTTCACACGATACGGTAATTCTCGTAAACTTCAAATTTCTTTTGAGAAAAATCAATTTGGGGGGTTCTTTCGTTTTATGGAGCTAAAAGGTCAGGGAAAATCAACTATTTCTGAAGATAAATTAATTTCTTTATATGAGAAATTAACTTCAAATTAACTTCTTGGGTTCTTTCGTTATATGAGAAAAGACCTAATTCTGAAGATAAATTCATTGAGGATGAGGAAAGACCAGAGGAGAAATTTTATGGGGTGACTCAAGACTCTAGTACCATTGAATATGAAGCGGCTGATGATCCAGATACTACTGCCACAGTACAAGTAGATGAGCATCGAGCTACCTCAAATACTGCTGCTATTAATGCAATTAATAGCGAAGAGAGAGATGCAGTATTCCATAAAGTCATAGAGAATGGAATATCATCACACAATCTACCTGATGCCACCACAATGCAACAGTCAGTAAATGATACTGCCATATCTCAGAAAGAGGAACCATTAGGGAACATTGTGAGAACCATTTCTCTAGATTTTGGTGACTGGACTGCACAAATAGAGGATACTGAGAAAGTAGCAGAGGGGTACATTATGAAGAATTATGCATTGTTGGATTACCGGAAGAATTATACAGATTACGGGGCACAGATTGGTGGGGTGGATAAAATTGTTGAGGTTCAACCCAAGTTTCATGATGATGCAAGTAATTTAGCGCAAATGAGTCCATTTCAAGAATGTATTCAGTCGGATGATACTGGCGGGAAGATGGGTGCATGTTCATGGGAATGGTTTCAGGTGAAGACTGTCCAGGAGCAAATACCCGATTCATGACCCATTTGACTAAACGAGGCAACGTCAACTGGTTCTGGTCCAGGTAAAACAGCTTGTGCCAGAACGCACACATCCCACATTCTTGTGTGGTGATTGTTCGGTCTTCCGAGGAAACAATTTGAACAGAATTTTAGGAAAATACGGAAGACCGGGTGTTGAACACAGTTCACACTCAACTTAGAGAGGTCCACCACACCTTGTCCTGTCATTCTTTTCCATAACTCGTACCCCACAAGCGTATCATAAGCACGAGCTTCGTCAAACAGAGGGAGGCCAAAATGATGTGCAAATTCTCTTTTGGTCAATGAACGATTTTCATTGAGTAAACGAAAGGTGATGGTGTCATTTGCATGATCATCATCATCCTTTGTATACACATATGAACTAAAGAATTCATAAACCAAATGAGGATAAGTCACATATTGCATTTCTAGCAACCTAGTCATTCCAATTCTTGCAAATATATCACGCATGATCACTTCAATCCAAAGGAGGGCTAGAGTAGTAATGCACATGAATCGGGATTGTTTTACCTCCATTTGTGCTTGTCCCTCGAATAGTCGCTTTTGTGCTTCCGTTGCAAATTCCACACTTTCATAGCCAGCTACCGGTGGGATTGCCCTTGAAGAAGAAGCTTTGGATTGTTTAGGAGCCATTGGAATTGAATTTTTGTTTTTTGTTTTTTTAAGGGGATTTTCGGACTTTGGGGTAGGGTGGGATTTGGATGGCTTTTATGGGTATGGGGTAGAAGAGGATGGTGAGGAGAGTAAGAATATGGTATTGGTTGAGGATTTTTGGGAAGATTTCGGACCTTGAATGTCCAAAATTGAGGTTTTCGGATTTGGGGTAGGGTTTTTGGGTTTGGTTGATTTGGAAAGTTTTGGGGGATTTTATGGGTATAGGGTTGAAGAGGGAAGTGAGGAGATGAAGAAAGTGAGGTTTTTTAGTGGATTTTGTTAAGAAAATGGGGGGATTCGAAGGTTGGGATGTTTGAAAATGGTGGAATTTGGGTATTTTGGTGTTGGGAGGAAGAAGAAGTGGGAGGGGAAGGGGGTGAGCCCGACCTGGTATACTGTGTTTTCCCGTTCGCCCGGTCGGGTGGGGTAGTTTACCCGGTCGGGTGTACCTTATTTACCCGAGGCAGAATGTTTTTTTGTTGGGTGGCCCGGCCGGGTGAAGTGGTTTACCCGGTCGGGTGTAAACTGTTCACCCGAGGCAGAAAGGTGTAGCAAGGTTGCCCGGCCGGGTGTAAAAGTCTACCCGGTCGGGCGCAAAATTAATTTTTTTTGTTTTTCTCTCGCCTCGCCTGGGTGGTTGCCCGGGTGTTTAGTTTTTAGAAGTAACCCGACCGGGTTAGGGTTTATACCCGGCCGAGTCCAATCCCAGTTCATTTTTTTTTAACACACACTACTGAAAAAATTTAAAAATAAAAATGAAGAAATTGGGTTGCCTCCCAAGAAACGCTTGATTTAATGTCGCGGCACGACGTTATATATATATATATATATATATATATATATATATATATATATTTTTCTTTTATGTGGGATCGTGAACGTCCCTTGTTTCATTTTTCTTTTTCGGCCTTCTCCAGTAAGGCCGAGATTTCTTCTCTGGTATCACTTCAATCCCAGGTGGGATCCATTCTCCTTTTGAAAATTTGAAAAATTCTTCTTTTTCAAAAAGTTTGATTTTCTCATATTTTTTCTCAACAAAAATATTCGGGGTTTGTGGTTCACAAACTTTTAGAGAACAAAGAGATTGGTCCTCAATCTGTTTTTCCGTAGAATCAAAAATGTTGAATTCTACTTTTTGATCATCAAACTCTAAAGTTAATGAACCATTAGACACGTCTATTTTTGTTTTTGCAGTTTTTAGAAAAGGCCTACCCAAGAGGATGAGTGTAGTTTGGTTATCATCTCCCATTTCCAGAACATAAAAATCAACAGGGAAAATCAAATTTTCTACTTCTACTAGCACATCTTCTACTACACCCTTCGGGTAAGTATTAGACCGATCCGCTAGTTGAATCACTACACCAGTTTGATGTAGTGGGCCGAGTTGTAAGGATTTATATAAGGAATAAGGAATGACATTTATTGACGCTCCTAAATCCAACAAGGCCTTAGAAAATAAGGCTATTTTGCAAGGAATAGTAAACATGACTGGATAGCTACATTTCTCGGGAAGTTTCTTTTTAAAAATGGCCGAGACACGTTCACTCACTTCAACTTTTTGTTTCCCTTCCAGTTTATTTTTCTTTTTCATTGTGCATAGTTCCTTTAAGAACTTTGCATAACGGGGAACACTGTTGATCAGTTTGAAGAGTGGGATGTTTACCTCAGAATTGACGAATGTTTCGTAGATGTCCCGATCATTCTTCAGCTTCCTCGTGTCTTTCAATGCCTCAGGGAATGGAGAGAGTGGTTCATATGATGACAGTAGAGGAAATTTAGTCTTCGTTGGCTTCTCTTCTTCTTGTTGAAAGCCTTCTTCAAGATCAACCTCTTGCTTCTCCTCCTCAACTTCCCGTGGTTGCAATTCTTTACTGTTCCTCAACATGATTGCATTGACATGTTGTCTTGGGTTTTGCTCAGTTTGGGAGGAGAGCCTACCCGAATCTTTTGCTTCAAGTCGACTTACGGCATTTGAAATTTGGCTAACTTGAATTTCCAAATTTTGAATGCTCGACTTGGTTTCATGTTGGAATTGCATCATGGTTTGTTGGAATTGGCCCATGCTTTGCTGCATTGTTCTCATATTAACGGCCAACGCTCGAATCATGTCTTCGGTGGACATACTCGAGTTCGATGTTTGGCCTTGTGGTTTGTATTGTTGAGGAGGAGGATTTGTTTGAGAATTTCCGTACCATAAATTCGGATGATCCCTCCATCCCGGGTTGCAAGTATTTCCTTGAGGATCGTACCTCCTTTGACCTTGGAACCCCAAAGCATTGACTTGCTCGGAGTTCTCTTCTTGTAGCGTTGGGCAAGAATCTGTGGGATGCCCTTGCGTTGAACAGATGCCGCAGACCTTGACTTCTTGGGTTTTTGGATTTAAAAGGAAATCTTTAACCAAAGAAGTCAAGCCGGCTACTTGACTCTTCAACGAGTTGTTGGATTCCGCTGCCATGACTCGTTTCGATGATGACCTTCCGTTGTAATGTCTCGAGTTTTCGGCCAACTCCGAAATGAGGTCTCTTGCTTGAGAAGGGGTTTTGTTAACAATACCCCCTCCGCATGCCGCATTCACCATGCGTCTATCTTGATCAACAAGTCCGTCATAGAAGTAGAGGATGAGATCTTGTTCCGAATACCCATGATATGGGCAACTAGCACATAATTTTTTAAAGCGCTCCCAATATTCATACAAGGTCTCATTATCTGCTTGCTCAATGTTGCTGATTTGCTTCTTGAGACTTGAAGAGATAGATGCGGGATAGTACCTGTCAAGGAAGCTCTTTTTCATTTGAGCCCATGTGTTGATGCTCCCCGAGGGAAGATAGAATAGCCAATCTTTGGCGGTGTCTTTGAGGGAGAATGGGAAGGCTCTCAGCTTGATTTGCTCCTCGGACATGCCATTGGGGCACATGCTTGTGCACACAATATGGAACTCCGACAAGTGTTTATTTGGATCTTCCCCTCGTAGGCCATGGAAAGAGGGAAGTAGATGAATGTGCTCAGATTTTAGCTCGAATGTGACCCCCGTATCAAAAGTTGGAAAAGTGATACATAAGGGTTGTTGATTTAGATTCGGAGCCGTGAGCTCCCTCAGCGTTCTTGTTTCCAGAGCCATGTGGAAGGACTCTTCGGATTCGCTAGAATGAGAACTAGCACTTGATGATTCCTCCGAAGAAGTATTCGGAAATAGATTCCTGAACCTCTCGAAGGCTTGTTCTGTTTCGGGTTTTGTTTGGTAGGTGATTTGGTTTATAGATCGGTGTTTAACCATATACTTAAACAAAGCTCAGCCAAAATAGAAATCTTTTAAATGTTTTTTTTTTTATTTTTCTTGAAATAAAATAGAAAGAAAAATAATTGCCTTTCCCCGGCAACGGCGCCAAATTTGACGAGCACTTTGTCACGGTGCGTCAAAATAATTTTCAATACTAACACTTATACGTAGTATAGCGTAGTAGAGTTCGTATCCACAAGGAAAGGAATAATTCTCTTTTTATGATACTTAGTAAATAAAAAGGGGGGATTTGGATTGAGTGATTTAATTTAATTAAGAACTAAGATGAACAACCTATATGTGTTTAATTCAAAGATAAAAAGGACTTGGCATTGCTACTTTCCACTTGTTGATATATTTTAGTCGATCATTGTTATATCTATAACTTATTCCCTCTCGAATACTCAATCGGGGAGTATATCCACTTCATCGAGGGTAGTTATTAACAACAACCGTTCATTAATAACCCTTACTATTAATCAAATATAGAACAACGCCTTATACCGATTTAATAGTAGCATTTAATCTTTCTAACTCCTTGATGAAATCAATTGAGATTGATAACCTCAACACAACGGTTTCGGTTTAACCAACAAAATTAATCCCTCTTAAGTTTATTAACCACGACCGTGCATTAATAAACCGAAGTTACTTACTTGTGAAACCATCAACGATTAACCATCGGTTCGTTGATCGTTTCTAGTAATAATTAATATATGAAACAAAACTAGTTGATCCTTTAAGTAGTGTTCAAAATATTAATATGAAATATGAGTAGGAATTAATCAATATTCAAGGAAGAATATTATTAAAGAAGATGAATTCTACTATAATTAATATCAAGATGTTAACTAATTGTCATCTTAGCAACACTCCCCAACATTAATATAGAGGAAGAAAATACCATTCTAACTAATGTCGAGATGCAAACCAATTGTCATCTTAGCAACACTCCCCAACATTAATATAGAGATGATATTAAGGAAAGAACTATTAATTAATATTCAAGGAAAGAAGTTAAGAAAATAACTCACAACTTTAATAATCAACAAGCTTCAAGAGCAACACCAAGAATGGAAGTTTAGCTCCTCATTTGGAGACTAAACATAGCTAGAAAAATATAAAGAAATGCTATTCTAAACTGAGCTAAAGAGTATGGAAGAAAGGATGATTTTTTGTGAAGAAAAAGTGTGCTATTTATAGGTGTTTTTCAACACCTTTGGCCGGGTACCCGACCGGGTCAAGTACTCACCCGATCGGGTCCGGTCAAAATCAGATATTTCCCCACGTTCTGGTGATCTTTGCATACCGGGTTGTCCCCGGTCACTTCTCGCCCGACCGGGCCCAGCTGTTTCCTCAGTGCTTCGGTTTTCAAATCAGACCCGACCGGGTGCAATTTCCTACCCGGTCGGGTATTTGCTCCTGGACAGTTAAAAATCCTTTTTCTTCACTTCAAAATCCTCCTTTCCAACATCCTAATTCCTAATTCTACTTTAATAAAGCCTGAAACCACGACCGGTCGGGCCCCATACCTCACCCGGTCGGGCGAGAAGTGACCCGAGACAACCCGGTATGCAAAGATCACCAGAACGTGGGGAAATATCTGATTTTGACCGGACCCGGTCGGGTGAGTACTTGACCCGGTCGGGTACCCGGCCAAAGGTGTTGAAAAACACCTATAAATAGCACACTTTTTCTTCACAAAAAATCATCCTTTCTTCCATACTCTTTAGCTCAGT